TTTAAACCCTAAATCACAAGAAAATATTGTTGGGACGTCACTGGTGGTGGGAGTCAAGACCACGAAATCAATGGATTTTCGGTGACTCAGACTTCGACTCCAGCTCCGGCTTCCAAAATCGACTCTGACTCTGACTCCAGCCAGAACTGCCGACTCCAACCGACTCTGACTTTGACTGCGTAACCCTGTTGGGAACCACAGCTCAGGTTCAGTGGTTTGAGTCAATGCCCAATCAGCAAGGCGCTGCATTGTCGTGTGACGTCATTTGTGTGGTGGCCATGCCGGTCCGCCACGAAGATAAAATAGCTCGACCTTGCAGAAAAACCGTTAGAAAAGCCGTTGGCGCTTCAGTTGCCGGCGGTGTGGCCACGTGCGTGCGTGTGGTGTGAGCTAGGAGAGGAATTTATTTGAATTTACGCGCTTGTTATGTCGCCAAACGTTGTTTAAAGTGTTGTTTTATTTCAAGTGATAGTGCGTTAACGATAAACTTCAGTTTTTATTTGTAGTTTGCTCATCATGTGTATTCAAATAACGAGGCGCCCTGCAATCGGTGAAATTTTCAAGAGAGGAGAAGAAAGCAGCGCACCATGGAAACGGAAGCAAGTTTTGTGTTATTCAGTTGCAGAATAACGTCTGAGTAGCGATAATCGCCGGTTGATGGAACATTGTTGAGATGTGAGTAATTCCTCATGCAGGCTCGGACCAAAGGGGCATGACTGGCATTCGGACATTGCGTGTGTGAGATGTAGAGCGCTGGTTTGCGCGATGGTTAGGCCCAGAGTCTGCCTTTTCGGGGTTACTTTCGAATGTTTTTGAAATGTTTAATTGGCTGTGTGCATGGTAGGTTCTGCAGGACAACCTGGCGACCGTGCTCCTTTAATATATTCCTACAAGGACCAGCTTGTTTTACTAGAAGAGTGGAACGATGCAGCCGCCACGCAGTTTGTGACGTTGACAATGTCCATTTATTTTCGCTGTCGGGGAAAATCACGATATTGCTACATAATATAGCAATTTTACCCCCGCTACAGGAGTCAATATATGGGCGTTGTTAGTGCCAAACACGGTTTCATAGTACACGACGACCTAGTGTCGCTTGACTCGAGGCGCAGGTGTTGAGCGGGCGGAGTCAAATGACTAGCATGGGTGTCGTCATAAAACACACACTGAATCAAAGAGTCAAAATCCGATTCATTATAACGTGTCGCGTGACTCGTGGAAGAGTCGCATGACACCCTCTGGTGTTTTAAGACTCTCTTATACAGTGCAAATTTACTCTGCATTCCAGTATCAAATGAGTAGTAATTTGACTCTAGGCGCGGGTACAAAAAAGGAACCGAGTCATTTTTGGTCTCCCTAGAGTCATTTTTTTCTCAGTGTAGTCCGAACAACACGTGAGGTAAAATGCCCCATGAGGCTTTTTGCCCCGCGACCTTCTGGGGCGTTTTACCCCATTACGTAGTTCGGTCAGAGAACAACGCCTTGCGCTCCAGCAAGACATAATTTAACACGAACCAACCCGGCATTATAAGAGTTAGACAATAATTGTTCAAAATACATAAATAAAAGTCGTTAACCTGATGTGGACCACAAAAGAACGCCATGATGCATAATCGGACAACAAAACATAAAAATCACTCTAAAAACACATTTTTGGCTATGTATTCCTCAAGAGTTATCACAATGTCTTTCCAGTCTGCTCAGATAATGATCATATAATGCACGTTTTATTGAAGAGAGGATGTTTCCCCAGAACCTTGCCAGTTCCGAGAAACATCGGTGAGGCGTTTTACCTCGGCGGGGCGACTTGCCCCGGTCTACCCTACAAGGGAAGTTCGATCCTGCTATGAAGGTATTGTTCAATGTTCATTGTCCAACTGTATGAGATGAAAATACTCAACGACCGGATCAGAAATCTATAAAAAAAAATCTACCGTGTCTGATAGAGCTCTCAGGTGTAGGAATCCAACGTGCCCTCTCCCTAACGCTGTAGGTTTAGTGGCGGGCTCCTGTGACGCTGAAAGTGCTGGAAGCGGGTTCCTGTGACAATGTATGTAGGGATAGGATGGTGGAAGGCTCCTCTCACCCTCCCAGCCAGCAATCCCAAATGGGGCGCACATGGGCTGGAAGTGGGGAATCTGCGAATATGGGCTGGGCTACATCTGGGTATGTTATGGGCATCCAACTGGGTCCCAGATGTGCTAAATGGGCTAACTTTACGTGCTAGACTTGGCCAGCGCCTCCACTGTGCTGCTACCCTGCCTGATCTGTGCCGCTACCCTGCCAGACTCCTGATCTGACAGCCGCCTGGGCACACCCCTGCCCGTGTCCCTGCGAGCAGTAGCGGCGGAACACCTTCAATTAAGGGGGGAGGGGGGCACTGCCGACTTTTGGTCCCATTCTTTCCATGCAACGCCCATAGGGCTAATGTTAAAATGCCAAAATCAAAGGAGGGCACGGTGCCCCGGTGCCCTCCCCGTTCCGCCGCCTATGCCTGCGAGGTCGCTGATAATGTGTCGCCGGCGTTTGTTGTGTGGTGGGGCGGCCGCGGGGCGGCCGCGCTGGCAGTTGGTGACTATAAATAGACGAAATACGGCGCTGACGGACCGCTCGGGCCTTTACACTATTGTTACAAAGTCTTCTCCTTTTTCACACTAGGTACGCTACGCATCCACGCTTCCATTCTCTGCCGGCCGCCGGCCGCCTACCTGCAGTGTTAGCGTAGTGTAGTGGTTAGGGTCCCCGCATCATGTTCCGTAGGTCTTGGGTTCGAATTTCTGGGGATCTGGTGAGAGGCAAGGGGTACGCGGTTCTACCACGTGTGACCACATTTTTTTTTTTTTGATTCGCGCAGAAATAGTGGACGACATAAGCTTAGGTACCAAATTCCAGTTAAAATCCATGTGTGCTTTTTGCATGTGTCTGTGAGTCCCCACTGGGAAAGCCTGTGTGGGACCCATATACATACATATATCCCAACTGGGTCCCATATGGGCCCCACTTGGGCTGCCCATGTGGGTCCCAACTGGGAAAGCCCATATGGGGCTCAATATGGCCCCAGGTGGGTCCCAAATGGGCCCCGTCTGGGGTGCCCAGATGGGTCCCAAATGGGCCCCGTCTGGGGTGCCCAGATGGGACCCAGTTGGACGCCCATGACATTCCCATCTGGATCCAAGGTGGGGAGCCCAGATTGGTCCTAGTTTGGTGCCCACTTGGGGCCCATGTGGGCCCCACTTGAGAAGGCTGGCTGGGCTGTGAACCTGTAGGTGGTAGTGTCGGGTTCCTGTGGTGGTGGTGGCGGTTCCTCTCACCCTGTGACGCTGTAGGTATGGTGGCGGGTTCCTGTGATGGTGGCGGGTTCCTGTGGTGGTGGCAGATTCCTGTGGTGGTGGCAGGTTCCTGTGGTGGTGGCATATTCCTGTGGTGGTGGCAGGTTCCTGTGATGGTGGCGGGTTCCTGTGGTGGTGGCAGGTTCCTGTGGTGGTGGCAGTTTCCTGTGGTGGTGGCAGTTTCCTGTGATGGTGGTGGGTTCCTATGGTGGTGGCGGGTTCCTGTGACGCTGTATGTGATGGTGGCAGATTCCTGTGATGGCGGTGGCGGTGCCTCTCACCCTGTGAAGCTGAGGGTGATGGTGGCGGGTTCGTCTCACCCTGTGACGCTGTATGTGATGGTGGTGGCGGTGCCTCTCGCCCTGTGACGCTGTAGGTGATGGTGTCGGTGCCTCTCACCCTGTGACGCTGTAGGTGATGGTGGTGGCGGTGCCTCTCACCCTGTGACGCTGTATGTGGTGGTGGTGGCGGTGCCTCTCACCCTGTGACGCTGTAGGTGACGGTGGTGGGTTTCTCTCACCCTGTGACGCTGTATGTGGTGGTGGTGGCGGTGCCTCTCACCCTGTGACGCTGTAGGTGGTGATGGTGGCGGTGCCTCTCACCCTGTGACGCTGTATGTGGTGATGGTGGCGGCGCCTCTCACCCTGTGACGCTGTAGCCTGTAGGTGATGGTGGTGGGTTTCTCTCACCCTGTGACGCTGTAGGTGATGGTGGTGGGTGCCTCTTACCCTGTGACGCTGTAGGTGATGGTGGTGGCGGTGCCTCTCACCCTGTGACGCTGTAGCCTGTAGGTGATGGTGGCGGTGTCTCTCACCCTGTGACGCTGTACATATGTGATGGTGGTGGGTGCCTCTTACCCTGTGACGCTGTAGGTGATGGTGGTGGCGGTGCCTCTCACCCTGTGACGCTGTAGCCTGTAGGTGATGGTGGCGGTGCCTCTCACCCTGTGACGCTGTATGTAGGTGATGGTGGTGGCGGTGCCTCTCACCCTGTGACGCTGTAGCCTGTAGGTGATGGTGGCGGTGTCTCTCACCCTGTGACGCTGTATGTAGGTGATGGTGGTGGCGGTGCCTCTCACCCTGTGACGCTGTAGGTGACGGTGGTGGGTTTCTCTCACCCTGTGACGCTGTATGTGGTGGTGGTGGCGGTGCCTCTCACCCTGTGACGCTGTAGGTGGTGATGGTGGCGGTGCCTCTCACCCTGTGACGCTGTATGTGGTGATGGTGGCGGCGCCTCTCACCCTGTGACGCTGTAGCCTGTAGGTGATGGTGGTGGGTTTCTCTCACCCTGTGACGCTGTAGGTGATGGTGGTGGGTGCCTCTTACCCTGTGACGCTGTAGGTGATGGTGGTGGCGGTGCCTCTCACCCTGTGACGCTGTAGCCTGTAGGTGATGGTGGCGGTGCCTCTCACCCTGTGACGCTGTACATATGTGATGGTGGTGGGTGCCTCTTACCCTGTGACGCTGTAGGTGATGGTGGTGGCGGTGCCTCTCACCCTGTGACGCTGTAGCCTGTAGGTGATGGTGGCGGTGCCTCTCACCCTGTGACGCTGTATGTAGGTGATGGTGGTGGCGGTGCCTCTCACCCTGTGACGCTGTAGCCTGTAGGTGATGGTGGCGGTGTCTCTCACCCTGTGACGCTGTATGTAGGTGATGGTGGTGGCGGTGCCTCTCACCCTGTGACGCTGTAGGTGATGGTGGCGTTCTCGTCTATGTCCGTAGCCAGGATCGGCTGGTTGATGATGGACGTCTTCGGCATGTTCTCTGTGACGTTGAAGATCCGGTCGGTCATGTCTTGAAACTGGGGGCTGTTGTCATTCACGTCCAGGATTTTGACCGTGAGATCACCTGAGGGCGGGCGGCAGCGGGGTCAAACTAGTCACCGTCGGTGCACCTTACGGGGGAGAGAGGGAAGGCGACAGCGAAATGTCGTCATGGGATGAAGAAGCATCTCTGACCTCGGGTTTTTTTTGGGCTCCCGGACTATGGTGGTCATCGGCGCATCTCTGACCTCACGGGATTACTTCTCAGTTCATGACGTCGGAGTCTGGATCTGAGTCTCTGTTTTTCATGGAAGACAAATATCAAACGCGCCATCATGAGCTTGTCCAACTAGATTGGGTATGATGTTCCAAAGGAGCGCGGTGTTTTTACTGCACTGGGTCCGTTTTCGGCCGGGTTTTGCCAGCTGGTGTGCCGGGTTTTGCCAGCTGGTGTGCCGTGTTGCGCCACTCGGCTGGTGTGCCGTGCTGCGCCACTCAGCTGGTGTGCCGTGTTGCGCCACTCGCCTGAGGCCTGGTCTGTGCCGGACTCTGTGGCCGTGTCGGTGACCACGACCCGCAGGGTGATGGTGTCCATCTGCTCCCGGTCCGGCGCCCCGTCCGGCGACACGCGCAGAATGGCGGCTTTACCACCGCTGTCCGCCGACAGCTGAAACAGGCTGCGCCGCCGCCGCCGCACAGCGGGGCGTCACACTACAGCAGAGACAGCGCAGAACAGCACAGCGCAGAACAGCACAGCGCTGACGTCACATTACATCAGCGACAGCACAGCAGCACAGCACAGAACAGCGCAGCGCAGCACAGCACAGCGCAGAACAGCACAGCGCAGCGCTGACGTCACATTACATCAGCGACAGCACAGCAGCACAGCTCAGAACAGCACAGAACAGCGCAGCACAGCACAGCGGGGCGTCACACTACACAGTGACAGCACAGCAGCACAGCACAGAACAGCACAGCACAGAACAGCGCAGCACAGCGCAGCGGGGCGTCACACTACACAGTGACAGCACAGCACAACACAGCGCAGAGCAGCACAGCACAGCACAAAACAGCGCAGCGCAGCACGGCACAGCACAGCACAGCGCAGCACAGAACAGCACAGCACAGCGCCGACGTTGGTTCCTGAGCGCCGAGGTCAGTACTATGGTGTGACGTAAATGCTGTGCCACTGCTGTGCAGTGGCAGTGGCACAGCATTTACGTCACACCATAGTACTGACCTCGCACTGTAATGCTGATGTTACATCATATCAGTGATGTCAAATTACAGCACTGATGTGACATTCCTGGGCTACATAACAACAATGATTTCACTTTGAAACACTAATGTCACATCACTACACTGACACCATGTAATAACGCCATTCTATCATCGAGTGACCAGTTAATTAAGCCATTTGTAGCTGTTATATAACATCACAACGATGATGTCAATGCCGTTATATCTCACCTTGGTTCCTGAGTAATTGCAATATCCTCAGTGCCGTTACAACTCACCCTGTGCAGTGGCTAGTGCCGTTACAACTCACTCTGTGTAGTTGTAGCACCTTTTAGTTGTGTAGTTGTGTTGTAGCACCTTTAGTCTGTGTAGTTGTAGCACTGCTTATCTTTTAGTTGTAGCACCGTCAGTGTCGTTATAACTCACTTTTTGTAGTCGTACTCGGCGCGGTCCACCTGGACATTGTCTTTGTAGGCCTTAGTGGCGTCCCAGTCGATGGAGAACCCCAGTTTCGCCATGCTGTCGGCGTCGTCGGCGGTGATGTGAGCGGGCACCTCGGCTCCTTTCGTCTCCTCCAGAACCTCTGCCGGGCCGCCGCCCACCTGGAGCACGGACACACCGCCCGATAATGCCGGCTGATCGCAGACTAACACAGATCACGGCGTGTACACAACAGGAAGCGCACCCGGATCGGCCGGCCGGCTGATCGCAGACTAACACAGAACACGGCGTGTACACAACAGGAAGGCGCACCCGGATCGGCCGCCCAGCTGATCGCAGACTAACACAGAACACGGCGTGTACACAGCAGGAAGGCGCACCCGGATATATCGGCCGGCTGATCGCAGACTAACACAGAACACGGCGTGTACACAGCAGGAAGGCGCACCCGGATATATCGGCCGGCTGATCGCAGACTAACACAGAACACGGCGTGTACACAGCAGGAAGGCGCACCCGGATATATCGGCCGGCTGATCGCAGACTAACACAGAACACGGCGTGTACACAGCAGGAAGGCGCACCCGGATATATCGGCCGGCCGGCTGATCGCAGACTAACACAGAACACGGCGTGTACACAGCAGGAAGGCGCACCCGGATCGGCCGGCTGATCGCAGACTAACACAGAACACGGCGTGTACACAGCAGGAAGGCGCACCCGGATATATCGGCCGGCTGATCGCAGACTAACACAGAACACGGCGTGTACACAGCAGGAAGGCGCACCCGGATATATCGGCCGGCTGATCGCAGACTAACACAGAACACGGCGTGTACACAGCAGGAAGCGCACCCGGATCGGCCGGCCGGCGAGTCTGTTTAAAACGACGAGACATACTAGGGATCGCAGAACAATGACGCCGCCTACACACTACACAGTTATCACGGAACTACGCTCACTTGCGTCACTGACGTCATGTGGCGACTTACGTCCAGCGCGGTCTGCACCCAGCGACTTACGTCCAGCGCGGTCTGCACCCAGCAGGACTTACGTCCAGCGCAGTCTGCACCCAGCGACTTACGTCCAGCGCGATCTGCACCCAGCGACTTACGTCCAGCGCGGTCTGCACCCAGCGACTTACGTCCAGCGTGGGCGGCGAGTCGTCCACGTCCAGCACCGTTACGACCAGTGTGGCTGTGCCCGTGTTACCGGTCCCGGTATCGTCGGCCGCCGTGATGGTGTAATTCAGCACCCTGTCCCCTGGAACGGGGGGCGGGGCGGGGTGGATGTGTCAGCACCCTGTCCCCTGGAACGGGGGGCGGGGCGGGGTGTATGTGTCAGCACCCTGTTTCCTGGAACGGGGGGCGGGGCGGGGCGGGGTGTATGTGTCAGCACCCTGTCCCCTGGAACGGGGGGGGGGGCGGGGTGTATGTGTCAGCACCCTGTCCCCTGGAGCGGGGGGCGGGGCGGGGTGGATGTGTCAGCACCCTGTCCCCTGGAACGGGGGGCGGGGCGGGGTGTATGTGTCAGCACCCTGTCCCCTGGAACGGGGGGCGGGGCGGGGTGGATGTGTCAGCACCCTGTCCCCTGGAGCGGGGGGCGGGGCGGGGTGTATGTGTCAGCACCCTGTCCCCTGGAACGGGGGGCGGGGCGGGGTGTATGTGTCAGCACCCTGTCCCCTGGAACGGGGGGCGGGGCGGGGCGGGGTGTATGTGTCAGCACCCTGTCCCCTGGAACGGGGGGCGGGGCGGGGTGTATGTGTCAGCACCCTGTCCCCTGGAACGGGGGGCGGGGCGGGGTGGATGTGTCAGCACCCTGTCCCCTGGAGCGGGGGGCGGGGCGGGGTGTATGTGTCAGCACCCTGTCCCCTGGAACGGGGGGCGGGGCGGGGTGTATGTGTCAGCACCCTGTCCCCTGGAACGGGGGGCGGGGGCGGGGCGGGGTGTATGTGTCAGCACCCTGTCCCCTGGAACGGGGGGCGGGGGGGGGGGGGGGGGTGGATGTGTCAGCACCCTGTCCCCTGGAGCGGGGGGCGGGGCGGGGTGGATGTGTCAGCACCCTGTCCCCTGGAACGGGGGGCGGGGCGGGGTGGATGTGTCACCACCCTGTCCCCTGGAGCGGGGGGCGGGGCGGGGTGTATGTGTCAGCACCCTGTCCCCTGGAACGGGGGGCGGGGCGGGGTGGATGTGTCAGCACCCTGTCCCCTGGAACGGGGGGCGGGGCGGGGTGTATGACTGTCAGCACCCTGTCCCCTGGAACAGGGTGGCGGGGCGGGGTGTATGTGTCAGCACCCTGTCCCCTGGAACGGGGGGCGGGGCGGGGTGTATGTGTCAGCACCCTGTCCCCTGGAACGGGGGGCGGGGCGGGGTGGATGTGTCAGCACCCTGTCCCCTGGAGGGAACGGGGGTGCAGGCAGCTCGTGGCGGTGGACGAGTACCTACATACATGCCATTGGTGTCGACAGAACAGTGCCGCAGAAATCCCCCATAACGTATAGCCCACGGCTACATCATGGGACACTCACCGTAAATGCATGTGCGGGCATATACCTTGGTATGGAAGTACATACCTACTTAACAGCCCGTCACTCACGTCTATCTGTCATCAACGGCGTATCTCGCACCAATGAGATGAAATTAAAAAACAGTGCCACTGCAGCGGATTGACGAGCTTATTCGTCCCAGTGTTTCGGTACCAGTGGTCCCAGTGGTCCCAGGCCCAGCCGTCCCAGCCGTCCGGTCCGTACCGTCTCGGTCCCAGCTGTCCCTCCCAGCCTGTACCGTCTCTGTCCCTCCCGGTCCGTACCGTCTCTGTCCCTCCCGGTCCGTACCGTCTCTGTCCCTCCCGGTCCGTACCGTCTCTGTCCCAGCTGTCCCTCCCAGCCTGTACCGTCTCTGTCCCTTCCAGTCTGTACCGTCTCTGTCCCTCCCGGTCCGTACCGTCTCTGCCCCTCCCGGTTCGTACCGTCTCTGTCCCAGCTGTCCCTCCCGGTCCGTACCGTCTCTGTCCCAGCTGTCCCTCCCGGTCCGTACCGTCTCTGTCCCAGCTGTCCCTCCCGGTCCGTACCGTCGTCTCTGTCGAAGTCGTACGGGGCGTCGCGGCTGACGGAGACGAGGCCCGTCTTCGGGTCGATACGCAGCGTGTTCTGCTTCCCTCCGGAGATCGAGTACCTGGCGAACACAAACAGAGCACATACAGAGCACAAACAGAGCACAAACAGAGCACATACAGAGCACAAACAGAGCACAAACAGAGCACATACGGAACGCACACAGAACACAAACAGAGCACATACAGAGCACAAACAGAGCACATACAGAGCACGGATAGAACACATACAAAGCACGGATAGAACACGGACAGGACACGGATAGAACAGACCTGTGTTATGTTGTGGCGTGCTGCAGTGCAGTAGTGGATTAATACCCTAGAGACGGGGGCATAAGGTGACACGGACACCTTAAATCAGTAGTGGAACACTAGAGACTGGGGTGTAAGGTGGCACGGACACCATAAACCACACGTCACCTGCTGGCACCATTTAATCTGCGCGGCTACACCTGACGGAGGCATGTCGAAAAACGGAGTGTATATTGAAAATGCCTTACCTGATGCCGTCGGATCCAAAGTCAGCCGAGTCCTCATCGGTAGCGTTAACAGTTACAACAATATCGCCCTCAGCGGAGCTCTCGTTGACGTTTGCTTTATACACCGCGTCTGAAAACCGATCAGAAACATTCATTCACGCACATGATAGGCGTTCATGCACGTGGTAATAGACTAATAGCCTTTGACCCTCGCCGGACCTGTTATTGGTTTTCTACATACGCGCCGGCCGAGGGGGGGGGGGGGGCGGGTACGACCCCCCTCGCTGTTTCGCCCCTGGTGCAGCTAGCGCGTCGCGGAAAAAAACGAGCGTGTGCGCCGTTACGAGACGCAGAGATTTGTACCCGATTTTAAGGTTTTAGGTCAACCGGTGACCTCTGAGGTCAGGTCAAGTGCCCCAAGGTACGGTTCAGTTTTTGGTGAATAACTTGCAAAAACGGCCGCAGAGCCAAGATTTTGGCAGCATCGTGTTCACCTCGCTCAGGCGCGTCGAATGATATACTTTTTGTTCGGGTCAGGTCAACTTAGGGTGTTGACCTCAGGTGAAGGTCAGGTCAGCACCCCTAGGTCACGAAGTTGGTCGAAAGAGGTCATGTCGCATATCATTCGATTTGCCAGGTCTTCCTGAGTCCAATGGTGGCTTTGCCGACTCGCTAGCTCAATTTGATCAAGAGTTATTGACGAAAAACTAATATGACCATGATGACGTCATAAATGACGTCACACAAGGTCAGCATTGCAAAAAAGACGCATCTTACCTTACAAGGAGTGCATCAAATCACGATTCTGTGTGCTTGAGATAGTTGGAGCTCGTTCCCGGCGCCAGAATAGCAGTTTTCATTTTTCCCCATTGATTTATAATGGTGAGGTCACGAAAATGACCCGACCTCATATGACCTCTAGGAAAAATCCGAGATATACAAGTTGTGAGACTCATAATGAGGATACTAGATCCTGCAAGTTTCATTTCCCTGTGACATCTCCTCTGGCAGTGAGGGCGTTGCGAAGTTGCGACATCTGAAGACCGTGCAGAGGTTCACCTATGACGTCATAGGTCAGTGACCTGACCTGACCAAAAATGCGGTTGGTGTCAAAAGATGCGGCTTGGATCAAAGGTAAAAAACCTATAGGGGCGGCACCCGCCCCCCCCCCTCGGCCGGCGAAGGTTAAATTAACCTCAACTGCTGACCGCTATTTTGCCTGGCCTTGGGATAGGTGACTGTGTGTATTTGCAAAGACAGTTTGTGTTTGTGTGTGTTTGCACAATGAACATGATCGATGTGTCACAACAACCTATCCCGTTCCAATCGCGCATTGGCACCTGCCTTTAGAAAGATAAATTAACAGACGTGTCAACCATTTCGAAGACAATGTTTGTGACGGTTGCAGAGATCATCAGTGATCGCGGGACATTGCCGTTAATTCTGTCTGATGAAACTAGCCGTTTTCACGACGGGCTATCCGGCGAGTGCACCTAATCTGACCAAATATGCACCTAATCTCTTTTACAGCAAATACCTTTATTTTATGAAGTTATTTCAGTTTTTAATCGATGATTCTCTCTGATAATTAGACAAAGCAGGCATAAAAGCAATTAGTGCAACCCTAGCTGATAGCTACTAAGAGAAAAACTGAACCTAATTTGACCAAATCTGCACCAAATCTGCACCAGATGTGCACCAAATATGTACCAGATGGCCGTCGTGAAAACGGCTAATAAGTCTGCGGCTGCATTTCGGCAAGTGTCGCTACAGGAGCCGGCTGGTGGCGGGTGCGGACTGGTGGTGGAGTATTAGTGGAGTTTTAGTGGGTTAGTGGAGGATTACCTTTGAACTGAGGGTTGTTATCGTTCACGTCCTGCAGGTGGACGGTGACGGTGGCCGAGGCTGTCGGTGAGCTCGGGTCGCTCCCCGTGGCAACCACCTGAGAGAGAGACAGAGACACAGCATCCAGCAACCTTACAGACATTCAGTGACGGAGGTGGTTAGAGACACGACATTCAACAACCTTACAGACATTCAGTGACCGAGACGGTTAGAGACACAGCATCCAACAACCTTACAGACATTCACCTTGATGGAGGTGGCTAAAGACACGACATCCAACAAACAACCTTACAGACATTCACCTTGACGGAGGTGGTTAGAGACACGACATCCAACATCCTTACAGACATTCAGTGACCGAGACGGTTAGAGACACGACATCCAGCAACCTTACAGACATTCAGTGACGGAGGTGGTTAGAGACACGACATTCAACAACCTTACAGACATTCACCTTGACGGAGGTGGTTAGAGACGCGACATCCAACAACCTTACAGACATAAACCGAGATGGAGATTAGAGACACGACATCCAACATCCTTACAGACATTCAGTGACCGAGACGGTTAGAGACACGGCATCCAACAACCTTACAGACATTCACCTTGACGGAGGTGGTTAGAGACACCACATCCAACAACCTAACAGACATTTACCTTGACGGAGGTGGTTAGAGACACGACATCCAACAACCTTACAGACATTCACCTTGACGGAGGTGGTTAGAGACACGACATCCAACAACCTTACAGACATTCACCGTGACGGAGGTGTTTAGAGACACAACATCCAACAACCTTACAGACATCAACCGAGATGGAGACTGTTAGAGACACAACATCCAGCATTCAACAACCTTACAAACATTCACATTGACTGTGGCGGTGGTGACACAACATCTAATGACCTTACATACATTCACAGTGAATGTGACGGAGGCGGTTAACCCTATTCCTGGCGGGCTCCGCCGGGACAAGAAACTGGCGGGGGGGGGCCGATTCGGCCCCCCCCCCCCTGAGATCTCGAGAACGAAGCAAGATAGCGACAAGCGGTAAACGGCATCGGATACGCACGGCCAAGATCTACAATTTTTACAAAGGTCATTTTCAGGTCAGGTCAAAGATGACGTCACAGGGGTCGAAAAAGTCAAAATGGCGGCACTAGATATGGAGAGTTTTTCTCGAATAACTTTCGAATTAGTCAAGATAGGAACAAACTAAGGGCATCATCGTGATCCTCTCGTCAATCCGCATCGAATGATATATATGTTGACCTCGAAAGGTCAAGGTCAAAGGTTGACCTCAGGTCACGTGACCTCGAGGTCATCATGTATATCATTCGATGCGTCTTGACGAGCTGAACACAATGAGACCATCCACGCGTCTGTATCTTGTTCCTGTACGGAGTTATTGGCCAAAAACCTTTGGTGACCTTTGATGACGTCACATGACCTCACAGCTGCCCAACAGCAAAACAGACCTCAAGGTAGTGAAGGTTGATCGTATATGAAGTCATGTATGGTATATGGCCATATAATATGGGGCCATTCCGACCCGTTTTAGTGAAAAAAACAGGGAGTTGATTTTTCCCCCATTGACTTATAATGGGGAGGTCGCGAAATTGACCTGACCTTAGGTCACCGATATCAAAATTCCGAGATATACAAATTGCACATACTGGTACCCTAACTAAACCCTGAAGAGAAGAAATTGATCGGTCAAAAACTCTAGCTCTGGCGTGATTGCAAACTTTTCTGAGGTAGGGTCACCAAACCGCCTCTGGTGACCTGACCTGAGGTCAGATCAACTCAAAATTTTCAGACATGTTGCGTAGAAGCCTTTTAGGAAAAGTCAGAAAATTTGAGCTTCCTAGCTCAACGCGTTTGGGAGATATATCCAAAAAACCTCAGGGGGGGGGCTCCTGAGGCCCCCCCCCCGCCAGGAATAGGGTTAAGCCTGAAACAGACTTTTTCCGCAGTCAGGAAAGCGGATGCGAAAGGGGCATTCCACGTCAAATCGAACAAAAATCGGCTGTTTTGCACCTTACCATCAGCGATTTCATTATAAATTTGTGAGCGAGTTCCTGTGTGGCCCCGGACATTACATTGATATTTTTTGCACATTCTGACCACAGGTCTTCTAAATATAGGGCATCAAATTTTTACAAAATGTTGCATCTTTATATTTTTGAACGACCATAACTTTGGTTGTACTTGTTTGATTTGAATGAAATAACCCTTACTGTTTAGGTAATTTCTTAAGCATTTGTTTAGAATTGCACCTACTTAAATATATGACCTTGAAATTTGCTTAACTCTGTTCTTAAGTACAAATATCGAAATAGCAAAAAACACGTCACCTTCGATTTGGCTCATTTTCATATATTTTATTGCCTACCATATTCTTAACAACCTATGAAAAAATTAGAGTGGGCCATTCATAAGTTTTGAAGAAAATTGCACATATGCAAACGTATGTTAGCACGCGCAGTGGAGGAGGAAGAGCGAATTTCGCCCACCCCTCCTGTTTTTCGCCAATATCTCATAAGATTAATGCGAAATTAATTATGGCTACCTATCAAGAATTGAATTGGACATCTCATCGTGCAAGCAATAAGAAAATCGGTTCACAACTGTTCTAGTAATAGCGGTGTAAAGTGAACATCCTGTCGCCGCAGCGACGCGGCGACTCGGCAGCCGGCGCCGACCGCTACGCGCCGCCTGAATTGTAGACTGTGCCGGGACGGAACGGAACGGTTCCGTCTTTATATCGCGCTCCCTACCGCTGATTACGTTTGATTCGCGTCCAATTTTGTGAGAAGACTAAGAAATGTACAGGCAATCTTATGGTGAAAGAAGTTTGAAAATCGGTTGGTAAACAATTGAAATATGAACGTGTAAACACAAAATTGTGATTGCTGCGTTTCCCGCATCGGCCGAGCCCGCCTTGCAGCCGGCGACATGTTACTCTTAGCAGGCCTTTAACTGCCAATTGCCATATTTATTATTGGATTTACTAGAAATTCCCCATACATACTAAAAAATGTATGTTCTTTCGTATAGTGAAGATCAAAAGACGTGAAGATATCGTTGCGTGATAATGTTTTCGTTGAATTTACTTCATGATGCATTTCCACACGGCTCAAAATTCACCGCAAAATAGGTACCGTTTGCCTGAGACACTTTTACAATGGAACGTGAATGCTTGACTACGATGACTATGCATTTTCATGCTCGCAGAGTTTGGGATATCACTAATCAGCAATCATTCATTTCAGAAAGTGTACACAAGCAAGCATGTCTTGACTCTGTCTTTCAAGGTCACGCGCGGTTGCGTGATGTTGATGCATGAAAACGGCGTTTGCCGCGAAAGTTATGAATGGCCCACTCCAATTTTTTCACAGATGGTTAGGAACATTGTGACGGACATAATATGTAAAAATTAGCCAAATCGAAGGTGACGTGTTTTTTGCTATTTAAATTTTTCTGTTTTAATTCAAGGTCAAAAGCATTTCAAGGTCACTTCAATTTTATTTTATAATTAAAAATCGAAGCCTTATCAATTGCCTATAAGACCCTGTTAATATCATTTTGATACCAGAAAAGGAACCAGAGTTATAGCCATTTAAAAAATTGATGTGTGGCATTTTTCGCTATATTCGATGACCTATATCTCAGCGATACGTTATCAAATTTCGAAAATATTATACGTAACTCAGTTTTGAACCATGCCCAGTCTGCCTACAAATTTTCAGAAAAATCGAAGGGGATGACGGATTTCGGTGTTTGATTTGACGTGGAATGCCCCGAAAGCCTATTCAAATACATGGAAGCACGCTCGCATCAATCGCACGCACTTCCCGCATGCGATTGATGCGGGAAGAACTATAATGTATTTGAATAGGCTCTCGCATGCGACTTTCTGACTCTTTCTGAATGCGGAAAGAGTCTGTTTCAACCTTTAGAGTCTAGAGACACAACATCCCACAACCATACAGGCATTCACAGTGACTAAGGCGGGGTGTGGTCGCTTGACGTGACCTAGTGCCCTGACTGTTTCGTTTGTTGACACAATAGGTATAAATAAGTACAGGATTTATATCACACAAATGATATACTTAGAATGACATGCTAGTCAGACAAGTAGATGAGACACATGAGACAGCCAAAATCCATGCGTAACACAAATTCTTAGTATTTGTCTCGAGACATTATTCTCGAGACATTATTTAAGAGCACTCCCGGAACACCTTCCCTGCAAGCTCGAGAGCACGAGCTTAAGTCCACTTAACCGAACACCCTTCCGCTTCGAGTGACACATGGGCTGCTGTGGGCTTGTTCCGGTGGCTGCCTCGCCTGCTGCTGTGCTACGTGGGCTGGATAGGTGACAAGATAGTCAAAGTCATCTTGCTGTGGGTTGTTGCAGTTTGACTTAGTATGGACACTGGCTTTTGGAGCGCGAGACACGAGCTTCAGGTGACGCCTGTTTCGACGATAGATCGTTCCTCGGTGACTGATCAGGTAGCTTCGAGGGCCTAGTCTCTTTGTTACCAATGCCTTCGTTTCCGACCACTGCTTTTCCGCTTCCGTTCTAACTCTGACATGGTCACCCCGCTCCAGGACAGGCAGCGATTTGGCCCCGTGACGCTTCCGGTAGCGCTGCTCCGTCCTCTTCTTTTGCTGCATGTCTCTCGAACGGGCCTCTTTTAGTCCGTCCTCTTCAGAAGTGAGCTTGGGTAGTCGCGTCCGCAGCTCACGCCCCATCAGCATGTGAGCAGGTGAATGGCCAGTCGCCTCAATGGGTGTGGCTCGGTAGTTCAAGAGCGCTAGGTGTGGATCCTTTTGTTTGAGTACCCACTTCGCGGTGCGCACTGCACGCTCTGCAGCTCCATTTGCAGACGGCGTGTGCGGATCTGTGATGCGGTGACTGAAACCGTAGGTAGAGGAGAAGTCCCGAAATGTCTGAGAGGTAAACTGCGTGCCACCGTCTGAAGTCACACAGTCAGGGATACCGTAACGGCTGAAGAGCGACTTCAAGCGCTCTATCACTGCTGCAGCTGTGGTGCTCGGAAGCTTCTGTATCTCTATAAAGCGGCTC